TTCACCGATCCCTGCACCAGGAACCGAACCGCTGTCTTCTGATGGCTTGGGCAGCTGAAAAGCAGCCATTAAAAGCAGCCGCCGATAAGTGCAGATTTTCCCGGGTCTGGGGCCAATGGTGCGGTGGGTACCAAAACCCGCAAAAAGTCATCGTTTAATGCAACCCTTTTACATGCACGTTTCCTGTGGTGTTTTCTAATGCCTTTTGATGGGCGAAAATAAACACTATGAGTCGGGCCTGGTGGGTATTTGCGAAAATTTCTGACAGCTGCAGAGAGTGCACAGGGCTGCCACACAGGGCTGCCCCATGTGTGCAAAGTCGCATTTTCACTAGAACTTGTGGGCTAAATTCCACGTTTTTTTCTGGCAGAAAACTGCTTTCGCCCGGACAAGCCGGACAGAAAGCCAAAAGCACATGGAACGACACCTGTCGTTTCTCGTCGGTGTTTCGCCTCGAACGTCCGGTGAAATGTCAAAGAACCCAACAGAAACCTTGGAAAAAAGCTGAAAAGCACTTGAAACGCACCTGAAAAACATTGAAACGCACCTGAGCTTCTGCAATGCTTTTTAACCATGGTATGGCAGTCTTAGATGCCCTGTCATAGAGAGGCTGTTCTGCCTTCGGCTCGTGGCACTGGAAACTATTTAGAACTGTGCTTTTTGCTTTTGACACAAATGATGTGGAAGCTGAAGAAAGTGAAAATCCCATAGGTTTCGAATGGCTTATATAAACAGGAACAGCTGCACGTTCGCCGACGAATCGAGCGACGATTGGATCCAATTGAAACCGTTCTTTGGCGAGACTGGTGCAGGCTGCTGGTGAGGGAGCTGCTCGTCGAAGTACCTGGCCCAGGTGAGCTTGAGGTTCGGGGTTTGTTGAAGACAAAGAACCAAGGTCAAACTTGGCAGTTCAGCTGTGCTTTTTTCCCTCGTGAGGCCATGCTTGCGAGACTCTGCCACTCGGCCTACCTGGCAGCGGCAGACCCTCGAACGGCCTTTTTCTGGGTCACGTCCAGGAAGCCGCTCAAAGAGGGTCTCTGGCGGGCAGGCACGAGCGACCGCTCAAGGATCTTCATCATGGTGTCGTCGTGAGGCATCGCCTTTTCGCAGACACGAAGGGCCATGTTGCGAATGGAGCCAGCCGTGCCCTCCTCCGTCTCCCGGACGAAAGTCTTCGGGGGCATTTTCCACAGATTCGTGTCCTTGGGGCTGAAAATGTCGAAAAACGATACGGCGGCCGCCCACACGTCTGCAGAGCACGTCAAGCGCACCTGCTGGGGCAATGCTATTCAGGGACGGCTGTGTTGGTTCTAGGGCATATAGGGGAGAGCATGGGTGCAGCTTCAGGCTAATTAAGACTGCAAGCCTCGACACTTTCTCACTTAACTGTCCACACCTTCCGGTCGGCCGCCATGAGGCACTCGGGGCATCGAAAGGCTTCCGTGTAGGCACGGCTGCCGATCACGTAGCAGGTCTCCTGCACCATCTCCCGTGCCAAGCCGAAGTCCGCGAGTGCTGCTCGATTGTCTCCGAAAACGAGAATGTTGCTCGGCTTCACGTCGAGATGCAAAAACGAACGCCCGTGCACGTAGGAAAGGCCGACGAGGAACTGCTGAAACAGCGGGACCAGCGACTTGCGGCCGGCAAGCCAGCCGTCTCGGGCCTTCAGCCTGCAGGCAGCGGCATGCAGGCTTTCGGTTGCCGGCTCCAGCACCAAAGCAGGTCGACCGAGCGAGCTGGTGAGAACGGCAAAGGCTCGAACGACGTTTGGGTGCTGGCCGACGGCTGTGAGAACGGCGAACTCGTCCGCAACCTCCTGTCCGGCCGCAGACACTTGCCGCATGCCCTCTGGACCTCGGCCTTTAGCCACTTTCAGCACGAGAGGCTGTCCTCGGAAGCTTGAGCGAAAGACCATGCCGTAGGACCCCTCGCCTGTTGGCTCCAACGGCCCCAACGGCAACCCGAGAGTCCAGTTCCAGACGTCCAGAAGCACTTCCTGTCTGGTAGCCACTACCTCCGGGTTGTCCGCCTCTCGCTGCCGAACGTCCTCTTCCTCGTCCTTCTCTCGAGCAGCCGGAGGCCCCTGCCCTTTCAGGAAAGCAGTGGCTTTTTGGCGGTTGTCCTCGTAAGTCCGCGAGGCCTGCGAGAAAAAGCTTTGTCGAATGTCCTTGCTCTTCTTGTGGTTCCTCAGCGGAAGCAAGCCGAAAGGCAAGGAATCCAGGTCTTTTGAGGAAAAAACATGTCTATGTCTAGGTTCTACGGTATGATTCGGGGCCTGGGCTTGCTCTGTTGTTGGCGGGTTTAGGGGTCCCGGGTCTTGGGGTTTAGGGTTTAGGGCTGAACGGTTTAGGGGTTTGGGGGTTTAGCCTTTCGGCTTAAGGGGGTTACGGGTTTGGGGGTCTGGGTGTTTAGGGAGTTAGGGGATTAGGCTTAGGCTTAAGAGGTTTGGGGTTTAGGGATCCTCAACCTCGATCCCCAAACTTGAGGTTTCTTTGAACCCAGAGCGGCCAATACCCCCTAATTGAGGAATAGACCTTCAATCATAATATGAAGGCCTCCATAATACAAGGTATAATCCTTCATTCCCACTCAAATCCTAAGTATTAAAGCCATTAAGGACAGGCAGGTGCGTTTCAGTGTTTTTCAGGT